TTTAGCTAAATTTACAATAGCTGAAAAAAGGGTTTTTTACATTTAATGATAAACAGAAAGCGTTGCAATACCTAAGGGAACAGCAGCAGAATGAGCAGACACCTCTCAGAATTTAGGATTCAGCCTTCCCTGAATCTTCTTACAGATGAGCCAAATTTAGGGTGAGGGCTGCACTCATAGTTCGTAACGGAGTCATAACAAAACCAGAAACAACTGAATAACTGCTCGGGAAATGACTATCATCTTTGACTGTGGCTTGTCTAAGGCTCTGTCCAAACATGGACATTTATAAAATGTCCTTCAGCACTGTAACAGCAAATATGTGACTTCTAATTCAGGGCTCCGTGCCAGGCACTCTTCTGTGTTATTAATTATTGGGAACATGCTTGCCTTCTGTTTTCATTTCCTGACATTAATGGATAACACTTGTAGTACTTATAAGCACAGCTACTCGTTTGGACGGACTCAGCATATGCCCCAACAGAATGACTGTCATCAGACAAGATCTGCTTCCAAAAATGCTTGAAGCCAAGAGGACACAGGACTTCCGTGAAGTTTGACTGACCACACTCGTAAGGTAGGACAACGTGCTCCAGAGGATCTGAGGAAGGGTGGCACAGGAGCTCTCCCTAGCAAAGGGATCTGAGCCTGCAGGCAATGGAGAAACGTCCCCGTCACTGGCACATCAGCCCAGTGTGACCAGCCCTTACTGAGCACGCCTGCTTCCGAACCCTTTTTCACCACTGTGCACAGAGCTTTGGAATTTCAAAAGCCCCAGAATCCCAAAAGGCACCAGTTGGTATACAAATGGGGAGAACACGACGAGTCCTAGATCTAGCATATGGACTTCCAGATATCAGACGGAAAATAGACCTTGGATAAATGGGCCTGCAAATTTCCAGAAGGCCCATTCTAGGTGTGTAGAGCAGGTGCTAAGGGAAGAGACCATTTTGTCGTTACTTTGAAAAGCATAAGAACTTTTAGGGAAGTACTTGCACCCTTTGCAAAGCAGAGAGATTGAGGTTTCTTACTGAGAATCAAACCCATTATTCCAAAGAAGAAACTTGTTCCCACTCATTTCCGCCTTTGTCCTAAGAACATGCTGGTAACGGCACAGGCTCATTTTCAGATGAGGGGCATTTTGTACTATGACGCTATCCTAAATAAAACATTATTTGTCATCCATTCGGATTTAGCTTAATCATAGTCTAAGTGCTCTTTAGCGATCTGTCCAGACAGAAGAAAAACTGAGCCAGTAAGGCAGCTGGAACGGTGCTAACAAAGTTTCCTCAAAATCACCCAGCAATAATGAACCAATTAATTACCTCAATTGCAAATTTCAGGCTGTTGAACAGTCTAGCTGAAGTCACGCTATAATTTACACAACACTTTTGCTTCAAATTAAAGACTACTTCACTGTCGGAGATCTTGACACCCATGTACCGTACAGCTTCACACTGCTGCTACGTCTGTCCTGCAGATTGTACAGAAGAGAAGATGACCTGAGTAGCTGCTCCTGTGACTGCTCCGGAAGGCAGGTAAGCTGCTCTCTGCTAGGACATCGGTCCTTTCAGTGTAACACAGAATCAACCAGATTATTTGCCCATCACGAGCTGCTCTCCAGACCCAGCTCTATATTACAGCCAGAGCTGTTTCAGGTGCGAATAGGCAGCCATAATGGGCTTGGAAAACAGTGGCTGGAAACACTCAGTCAAGTCCTCACAAGCTCTCACGGATAGTCCAATCAAACGTAGAACCTGCAGGTCCTCAGAGGAGAACTCCGAAAATTTCAGTCAGCTTTCTCACAGAAAACTTTTGTGCTATTAAAACTATGCCTAAACCTCACCAAAATACAATTCCTGCCCACTTATTTCCTATTCAGCCCTGAATTGCCACAACTTGTCATATGCGTTCTCTAATTCCCTACAACTCTTTTTCTCATTCTGATCCAGAAGAAAATAGTACCTCATTTCTACATTTTAGCCTGAAAGTTCACGGGATGGAAACCACTAAGAGCACACTGAGGATATTTCTGGAGAGAAGTAGCTCCTGTCACTCAAATTTTATTTCTGGTCTTTTCTAGCACCAGGAATGCAGTAATCCTTTTAAAGTATATAGTCTACAGCAATGAAAAATAATATTTCGTATTTTAAATATTTAAATTTAAGATGCAGAATCTGTATACAAATACGAGTCTCATAAAGTCAGCAGTGTGGGGCTTAGATTCTGATCACCAAACTTCAAGTGCTTCAGAGGAGGCAATTTCTCAGCAAACATCAGCAGCAAGAGGCTATGAATGTCCAACTGAAATAAAAAAAGTGCTTCCTTCCTTCAGAATACCTAAGCTCCAAAAGAATTTGACTCTTAAGACAGCTTAGCTCTCAGCAAGAACGCTAATTTTCTTGGACTCAACTCCAAACTTTGTAATAGGATACGAGTCTTCAGATGCAGTGGTGAGGATTGTTACACTTCTGGCTCTTTACAAAGATCAGGGGTTTAATGAAAAAAAAAAAATCAATGTAATTTTTGCATCCAGTGTCATCACGAGAATACAGGAAGATTAATGTAGTATGTCTCCAAGCTAGAACTGTAACACAAACCAACTAATGCATTAATTATACATGGTGAATAGTTATAATGCAAAAAATTATATATGATATGAAATTGTGCTACCAACTGCTTTAATGCAGAACAAGTACTCCTTTATATGATTGATGTTGTACATAAAATATCCTGTGGATCTGTATTCCTAATTTAGTTTGCTGCAACATGATTGCATGAGAATTGCTTTGTTTCACCGAGTCATGAACGCTTGTTCCGAGATCTGCCAAGTCACTCTAAGAGTAACAAACTATGGGCCTTGTACCCCTTGGCGTACTACAGAATTACTGATGTTGACAGGGGATGGGGGAAGGACCCATTCGTAAACTCCAGTGCTGTGTTCTCCAACTGTGTATTTTTCTCCATGAAAAATGGTGGGCATCTTCTTTATGCTCAATCTCTCAAGTGAAAATTTAGACACGAAGGTAGTAAAAGCTACTTTAAGAGTTTTAGTAACACACCAGTGAGAGCACAAATCCTGTCCTTGAACAACGTAGATAGGAAGAACGGATCTGGACTAACAAATCTGAAAACACAAACTGGATCAGAACACTGTGGTCCCAGCCCCTCCACGACCACAACAAAGCCCCCTGTCCCGGAGTTGTAGGGTTCCTGTGATGTGCTCTCAAATAACTTGCTAAAAAGACCCCAAACCAAGTGCACTTGAAGTTCAAATAAGAAAAGTTTTCATTGTTGCCAACAATATTAAAGCTGTCAAAGGCCCAGCACATCTGTTATTCAGCAGCTGCAGAAACAGGTGCGAGTCTGCATATTCAGAACTCCCCTCAGATGTCCTGAGTATGGACCACATTATCGTGACCAGAGCTGAATTTATAAAGTGCCAAACAATACCCAATCTGCTTTGTTACAGCGAGAGCAATCAAAGCAAAAATTTATCTTCTGTATTTTGAAAGGGACTGATCCTAGCCTCCCATTCCCAAAGGGGTTTTTTTGGTAGGAGGTGGGAACTTTGCCAATTCTGATGTCCTTAGGTTAAAGCAGTTTGTATGAGAGTTTATCTTTTTTATTTCAACACAATTAGAAAGAAGTATTTGTCTCCTCTCCTTCCTCCCCCGTGCTTTTTCTGCCTATTTCTAAACCTGAACTATTTTTGTGGCAAATTTTTGTGAGATATGACTAAACTGTTTTAATGGCAGATGATTTTGTTTTGAGCTATGCAGGTACCATTTTCTACAAACACCGATTAAAAACCAACCAACTTTCCTCGCACAGTGAATTACTGGACTTAGGGGAAAAAGAGCTAGCACTGTATTTTGAGAAGCAGATGAACATTACAGCCTCTTCCCAGACAGTCATCAAAGCCTCACCAGGAAGGATGAAGGAGCTTGCGTTTCATCACAATTAAAATGGTGAGTCTGACCAAATCTGCAGTTAGAATCATAGAATGTTTTGGGATGGAAGGGACCCCTAGAGGTCACCCAGCCCAACCCCCCTGCAGGGAGCAGGGACACCTTGAACCAGATCAGGTTGCTCACAGCCCCGTCCAACCTGGCCTTGAATGTTCCCAGGGATGGGGCCTCCACCACCTCTCTGGGCAACCCGTTCCAGTTTGTCAGGCATTTCTCTTAGCTTAAATACAACATTAAACTTGCCCCTTGCTCACACCCAAAGCTCAATACAACCGCTTCTGTTACTATTTGCCCAGTGAAGTGGGGAACTGATTGGAGCTAAACCAAGTTTTTTAGGGCTGGTTACCTTTTTTAGTTTGAATTAGTTCCAGAATTGGCCGTGACATAAGGTAGGGCATGATGCCTGTGGGCCTAGTTAAGGTTTGGCAAAAGAAGCGTTCTTCCAGTTCAATACTAAGCAAATGGAGAGGGAGGTTTGAAATCCAGATCTCATCATACGAGTTCTAATGGGAAGCATTCAGCTCACTTGCAAACAGGAGCATCTGAGGGTTGTGATCTTTGCAAGTTTTCTCCCAGTGGTGGTGAAGGGATGAGATATGGACAATTTTATTTAAATGTGTTTTTCTTCTCTGCGAACAAACTTGCATTTTTCTTTAGACTCCTCCTCCTACCACCAGCCACTTTGCTTTCTTGTCTCACATTAATAAAAAGAATTACATACACTTTGCATGTAAAAAGGTGACTTAAAAAAGGTTCAACATTCCCCCCCCAAATCCTTTGGAGACTGAGTCATTTTCATGACTTCAGAAAGGCAAATATGGCACAAAAGAATGGAAATTAAGTTAAAAAAATCAATTTTATAAATATTCTTCCTCTGTACAATTTTTCACAGCCCCATCCCTCCCGCCCATTTTTATTCACATTTCTTTTTTTTAATTCCCACCCCGATTTATTTTTAAATCATAAAATATATATTTTAAATCTGTTCATATTTTAAAATATTTACAGGAAAAGTTCCTTCTGTTGAGGTCATGAAGAGTCTGTACAAGGAGAGGGTGGAGGGGGATAGAGGTGAAAATAGCTTCGTTCCGTGGCAGGAGATGGAGGGCAACTTTCTTCTGCCGACATATACTGGCTGCGAGGTGTGGGTGGAGGGGGATAAGGGTCTGAGTCTGAATTTAAATCTATATAGTATTTGTTGGCCTTCCATCGACTAGTAGTATAGTCACTGTCACAAACATCTGTGCTGCATGGGGTTGTGGGTGGAGCTATCCCTCGTATAAGGTATGGCCTGCAAAAAAAAAAAGCAAGCACATACATTAGTTGCAGTCTGGGGAAAAAAGATTGAAAACAAACAGCTCCGTGTCCTCAGTCAAGATGCCTGCTCGTTATACTATGTGAGCCTTAGTTCAGGTTTTCATAGGAACCCAACAAGAGGTACCCGAACTGTGTTAAATCTGAACGGCACAATTAACCTCAGCCAGCAGTGCATTCTTCCAGCCCCTGACCAGCCAGAGGAGACCACCAGGACCACTTAGCCCAGGACCATTTAGCCCAATCACTAACAAATAGGTTGACTCATCCAAATGAGTTTTAAGATAAGCTTGAGGAACTGAACAGAAAACACGAACCTTCCCCGTACAGGATGCTAAGTGACTGTTACATAGCAATATAACCTATATAGATTGCATTATTACTCAGCAACACTGCATTGAAAGGTGCTAAACCCTGTTGTGTCAAACAGGTGGTGGGATGGCAGGGTTATGTTAATGGTTGGACTTGATGATCTTAAAGGTCTTTTCCAACCTAGACGATTCTATGAAAATAATACAAAGTCAACGTTTAACATCAAAACTGGCATAACCTCCGTTTGAACGGTGATTTATTAAGAGAGGGAAAGGTATTTTTAAACAAGGTAAAGTCTGAACAAGAACATTGTGCTTAAAATCCAAACCGAAAGGACAGATCAATAGAAGATTTATCAAAGCTTTTTTATCTGGGCTGTACCTGTAAGATCTTGTGGTTGAAGGAATGTTTGAGGAATAAAACATCTCTGCATTATACAGGGAGCGATCGGTAGCTGGGGAAGGAGGTGGGTTCAAGATCTAGGAAGAACAGGAAAAAGCAGCGTGAAAGTTTGGGTTAATTATACAAGTTTACTTATTTTGAAAATATTATTTATGCCTTCACTCTGTCACTCATCCTTATTTTAGTTTCCTCTCCTTGCTGCTTGGGTGGATTAGGGTTAGTTTCTTTAAAGATCACGGAAGTTCAATACGAGACTTTACTCTGGGCTTAGGTACACTGCAGGTCTTCAAAGTTCTTGCAGTACTGGGAATTTTCTTCCTTGCCGCATCCGTTATTATGCTGGAAGGCTGGGGTAAACCTGGAAATTAGACCCAGTTTTGCTGAATCTCAGTGCACTTCCTTGGACATAAGGACTTTATATTACCCTCAGCAGATGCTAGTGGGAAACAAAGTCTGTTCCAGCCCTAAACATACCCCCAGTCAATAGTAGGGCCAGGAGGCCAAGCTCCTTTACTATAACGAATACAACTCCATCCTTTCCTGAATACTTCCTTTTTACTGCCATTCTGTAAACGTTATCATTTTGGCATGGTTCACAATGCAAAGAGCTAAAAAGTAGCTATAGCCTGCCCTAGCCTGTGTGTGTATATACACGGTTGATGGGCCTGTGTGTGTATATACATGGTTGATGGTAACCTTCACCCTAGGAAAACAGTTTATTATGCTTCAGAATCCTTTAGGATTCTTCCCTTAGCAGGAAGCAGAACCCCTGACGTGGCCAGCAAGACATTGGCCTAAAACCAAGGAGAGCGCTTCATCCCTTCCAATGTGGAAAATTACAACATTGCTGTTGATTGTAGGGCCTTACTACTGATGTGACCACCTTGGGGCATTCTGTGAGCATTCTGCCAAGCCTGCCACAGTGACCATGATAGCATCCTTCCTCTGCCTCTGCTCTTCTCTCAGAAAAATACTGTAAAATTACTGGAGTGGAGATCATTGTTTTTGTCTTCACTGTGCAGCATCTAGCAAGATGACTCCTGGCCATTGAGTTGAGGTTATTGTTACTAATACTGACAAGCCCGGCATCCAGATTCATGTGAGGGGAGACAAGCTTGAATACCACCCGTTACCAGCTGTGGGGAATGATGAGTAATTGCCCCAAGAGTATCTTCCAGAAATCCTCTTCCTTGGAGGAGCACTGCGTGCTACTTCTGGATTCACTCCTACTTGAACTTTGAGCTGCATCGACCACTTCATGTTCAGATTAAATACAGCAAACAGCTTGTCAGCCAGGATGCCTGTGGCCAGGTTCTCTGCTATATAAACTGGCATAATGGCATTGACATAAATCCTTTCCTAGTCTCTATTGACTGGACCATCTCTCAGTACCACTAAGATGTGTTAAACAAAACAAAACAAAACAAAACAAACCAAGCCAAGACAATTAGATGCTCAGACCTCTCCTTTTTACTATTAACCTAAAGCTGGGTAATTAGCTACCAGGTAGAACTGATCAAAGTATTGGGATTAAGCAGTAACTTCAAATGTAACAAAGCCCTTGTGACAGCTTTCTTCTAAGAATCCAGCATGCCCTTCCTGAAGGAAAGGCTGATATCATGCCTGCAGGATGATCTTTTGGTCAACACAGATCCCACAGAATGGCACAGGCAGATCAGCTCTTGGGCTTCTTTCCTCTTTCAAGATTTATTTAAGTAGGTTTTTTTTTTTAATACAAATTCAGCTAAGTTTTTTTCTGTTCATCCTTTTTAGTGTAGCACTGACGCATCAATCAGGTGATGCATGAAATTGCTCAGCATTACAGAGACACTGGTGAAGCATGAGACAAGCTGAGTTCCAAACATCTGCTAGCTGTGACTAACTTCTTGATGGCTTCATGGAGAAGGTAATGAAAACAAATAATTAACCAATTTTACCTTATCAATAGATAAGCTCACAAGTCTCTCTTTTCCTTCTCTGTCCTTCTTAAAGAGGAGAGAGAGCACATTTGCCACTGGTCAAAACACTATTGATCAAAATGCCCATGCTTAGTATAACAGTTTATATGTAAGCACAAATGCACATATACCCACACAGTATGTGGATTCCTGATTAAATACTACTGAAAAATCACCTCAATAGCAAGCAGATTGATTCTGCAGGCTTGTGTGAACAGAAGAGCGAATGTATGTAAAATATTGGCAAACAGTAACCTTTGCATGTCTCTCCTAGATATTCTTAGAGAACCATTTCCATTCATACTATATGTCTTTGAATTCATGAAACCTTGATATGGGGACTAAAATTCCGTCACTTCCAACAGTTAAAAGCCAGCAATGGAGCTAAATTACAGCTGAAAAAACCCAAGCAAAGTAACCTCTGCTGGTACCAATGTTTTTTCCCAGTGCATGCACTTTGTTTTCTGAATCAACAACTGACGCTATCTAAAAGGCCAGCCAAGCTTATTTCTTATGCATTTGCATTCCAGTCCTGTCGCATCTTGTTTGTCTTTTTATTCCATGTGTGCCTGCAACATTACGGAGTGCGAAATGTCATCGGGCCACTTACATCAGAATTTACAAAGAACAAAGGAGGTGGCATCTTCAAAGGAGTCAAGACAGAAGGACAGAAGTGCCCAGGAACAACCCAGCTGAGTATCGCTCTAATATCAAAACATTTTAGACCCTGCATAGCATTGTGTAATCCTGATGAACAAAGCCCTTTTGTGAAGTTCAGTGGGTGTTGAACCGGGCCTGTATATCCTAAACAGTAACACCCAAGAACAACTGTTATTAACATTCTGCTTAGTAGCACAAATTTTCATCTTCTTTTCCTTCAGAAGTGTGAGATATCTAACTTACAGGTATATTTTCAAGACATACCTGTGGGTAAAAAGTGGCTTTTGTGCTGGATGAGCTACTTGAAGAGGCTCCAGTAACATGGTTTCTGTCATACAAGGGGGCACCACTGCTTCCTCCCATGAGACTCATGGAGCTAATCATGGACTTTCCACAAGAGATGCCTGCAGTGAGACAGGGAGGAAAACAAGGTTAAGTAAACCACAATTTTATCTACCAATGCAAACCAGAAAACAAATCCACAGCTTGGCAAACCCGTGCAACGCTACTGGGTGTCACTTTAGGAACAGTGTTTTATGTAAAAACTTTGGCATTACAAGGAACAACATATTCTGTAAAGAAAACATCTCACCCCCAGACCACCTATTGCCTCACTCCAGCACTGAACTCCTCACAACCTGCTCTCACACTCTGCTGAGAAAGGAAACTCGGGAACACTTGATCCAAACTTTTCACCCAAATCGTTAATTACGAAATGTTCCAATTAAACAAACTCAGGCATTTGCAAAAAACCATTATACATTGCCCAAGAAAAACAAGCCAGAGACCTCCGAAGTTTTCATTTTCATCCAAAGAAATTCAATTGCAAGTACATGAACAACAGCAAAAAGTAATTATTTTTATTGAAAAAAATCATTGCTTAAACTGAAAATCAGCAGACACAAATGGAAGGAAATCTGGGTGACAGGAAAAAGGAAGACAACATTCTCCAATCTGTTTTACTCCAATATACACTTAAATCAGACAACACATTTTCAGCTTCTTCCTGTCAGACTAGTCAGTGTTAATGGAAGAGTTTAGTCTGGGAAGCTTTCAGAAATTTTTCAGATGCAGGAAATATTTATTACAAGCAGAGTGACTCTACCTGTGATCATCACTCATGACTATTGATAATTTTTGGAAATCCCATGGAATTAGGAACCTATGTATTTTCTTTAGAATTAACATTAATGGTAATATTTTCAGCTGTTGTAACTTGTCACATCAACATGGATTAGAAAAAACTAGCAAATACAAAGGAGAACCAGAATGACAGCTTAGTTTGGCTCCTACAGAGGTACAGACAGAAACCACTGATACTTGCTTTCATTAAAACAGCTTTAGTGTGAAGCCCAATTTAAAACACCACTACAAAGATTTCATGCTAAAATTTTATTTCCTACCACAAAAACCTCTTGATAACCATAAACCCATAATTCAAGCAGGAACAGCTGACCACAGTCATTGAAGTGTGAGAAAGGCTAAACCTAAGTTGCATCTGGCTATCTTCAAAGCCATGGCTAGAAGAAAACAATTAGCACATCTCAAAAACTTGTTTAATTTGAAGAAGTGCCAAATCTTTTCATTTGTCGTTAAGTTTATCATCTATCTGATTTTCAGCTGACATGAGAAGCAGACTCCAAGCCCTCCGAAGTATGGATTTCTTGTATTCTGACCCTGTCTGGCAGGTTTGCAGGTAAACATTGACTTTTCAGCTTCCTGAACAATATGAAGAGATAGTCTTTCTTCTCAGGGTTTTGTAGTTAAGAATTTGCTATTTCCTCTGTGAAAAGTATATTTTACATTTGTAAAATAATTTGAGGTACAACATTACCCTGGGCTGCATCAGGGGAAGTGTGGCCAGCAGGGCGAGGGAGGTGATTTTGCCCCTCTGCTCTGCTCTAGTGAGACCTCACCTGGAGTACTGCGTCCAGCTCTGGAGCCCTCAGCACA